GATATAGGTCTATAGTTGGCCAGAATTTCTGAATCAAGATCAGACTTAATAAGTAAAGGTTTAATACAGCAACCTTAAAGCTCTGTGGTACATAACCCTTCATTAAAGATAAATTAAGTAAATCCAAAATGTGGACATTAATTAGGGGAAATACCTCTTTAAATAGTCTGGTTGGGATGGGATCTAGAAGACATGTGGATGGTTTGGAGAGGTTATTATTTTTGACAATTCAGAGAGTTCAACAGGACAAAAACTGTCCAAACATAAATCAGGTTCTAGTGACATTTTTAAAGTTGCCTCATTTGACAGGGGACTAGAGATAGTAGAATGAAGGATGGTTTGAATTTTCTCTCTAATTGAAATAATTTTATTTATAAAGAATCTCATGAAGTCATCACTACTTATAGTTGTAGGGATACATGGTTCAACAGAAATGGGACTTTTAATTAGTCTAGCAATAGTACTAAACAGAAACCTAGGGTTATTTTTATTCTCCTCTATTAAAGATGAGTAATATAAAGTTCTAGCTTTACGGAGAGCTTTATTATATGTTAGTAGACTATCTTTCCAAGTTAAATAAAATTCTTCATCATTAGTAGAGCGCCATTTTCTCTCCCGGATTCTAGATGCCTGTTTTCAAGTACGTAACTCAGAAGCGAACAAAGGAGCCAGTTTCCTCTGATTGATTACTTTCTTTTTCACTGGAGCAATTTTATCAAGTGAAGTTTGCACTGAAGTTTTAAGATGATCAACTAGATGACCTAAGTCTCTGTTCTCTGGTGCATTAATCTGAATGTGTATGTAGTAAAGTATTGTATGAATGTGTGTACAAGTGTATTTTATGAATGTGTGTAGTAGAATGCTGTATGAATGTGTGTGAAGTAGAGTACTTTATGAATGTGTGTAGTAGAATACTGTATGAATGTGTGTGAAGTAGAGTACTGTATGAATGTGTGTAGTAGAGAGTTGTATGAATGAGTTTAGTAGAGTGTTGTATGAATGTGCCTAGTAGAGTACTGTATGAATGTGTGTAGTAGAGTACTGTATGAATGTCTGTTGTAGAGTACTGTATGAATGTGTGTAGTTGAGTACTGTATGGATGTGTGTACTAGAGTACTTTATGAATGTGTGTAGTGGAATGCTGTCTGAATGTATGTGTAGTAGAGTACTGTATGAATGTGTGTAGTAAAGTGCTGTATGAATGTGTGTAGTAGAGTCCTGTATGAATGTGTGTAGTAGAGTACTGTATGAATATGTGTAATAGAGTGCTGTATGAATGTGTGTGTAGTAGAGTACTGTATGAATGTGTGTAGTAGAGTACTGTATGAATGTGTGTAGTAGAGTACTTTATGAATGTGTTTGTAGTAGAGTACTGTAGGAATGTGTAGTAGAGTGCTGTATGAATGTGTGTAGTAGAGTGCTGTATGAATGTGTGTAGTAGAGTACTGTATGAATGTATGTATTAGAGTACTTGATGAATGTGTGTAGTAGAGTAATTCATGAATGTGTGTAGTAGTGTTGTATGAATGTGAGTGTAGTAGAGTAATTCATGAATGTGTGTAGTAGTGTTGTATGAATGTGTGTGTAGTAGAGTACTGTATGAACGTGTGTAGTAAA